AATATAAAGGAAAATTTTCTTTAAATTCAAAACACAGAAGTTTAAGGCAAGCCAAAGCCATGGATGGCTATCTGTTTAACAAGTTTAGTTTCTACTACATTCTTACTGAGTCCTGTAAAGCCTTATTCTTATTATATGGCCTTTTAACTTGCATGCAAGCGTATAAAACATTTATATTAACTTTTAATTGCTAAGTAATTCAAGACTGCCTTAATGACAACATAAAAGGAGATAAATTGGCAATTACCATAACAACAACAAATCTATCGGTTGTAGGCTCGGGACCAATGTGAGCTCCTGTCAAAAGTGAAATAAGATCAGGAATGGCATAGGATGAACAAACTTTCTGTGCAAGACAAACAACTACACAAAGACACTTTCCCAGAGGATAACTTGCCTGGATAACTACTTTTAAGCAAATGTTTAATGAATGTTGTTTTCCCAGTGGAGTATTGACCCAAAAGCATAACCATGGGTTTGGCATCAAAATCACTATTTGTCTGCAAAATAAAGCAAATAAATATCAATTGATATCTATAGCATACCACAATTAGATAGAAGTTTGAGAAGATCCAATGAAAAAATGAAATAAAACTATGAGTGACTGGGCATTAAATCTGATGAAAGAACTAGAAGCAAGGAATAATGCTCACTCACCAGTAATGGGGATACAAAATCGTTGAACTTGTATGTAACTTCTAATGGCTTCAGCTTCTGAACATACAGTCTCTTCAACCCATCAATAATTGATGTTACAGAAGAAAGTGGTACCTAGAAATATGCCAAAGATTTGTTACAAGGTGTTAAACAGAGTGCAGAACTCATGTCTACCCAACAGTATTGCAAATTTCATTATGTCTGCACAGGAGAATTTATTATCAACTCTGTGACATATCACGCATATAAAAATAAATAAATAAATAAAAATAAAACTCCTAAAACTGACGTTTGCAAAAGCTTTGGACAGAGTCTTAATTGACTCAAAGCTTTCGCTTGATCATTGATAAGCTTAACCTACTAAAAACATAAGTATTTTTGCAATCAGCTTCAAGTATAACAACTCAGAGAGACTGGAATGCAATACTATAAAAAATTTCCTCCAAAAATAAGAAACAACATACACCTTTTTTTGATGATTTTGATGAAAACCAAAGTGCCGAAGGTGATTGTTTAACCACAGCAGTTCCTGTGTCACAGATAATTTGTAAATAGACAGCCAAAACCAAAAGTGACAGTACACATCTCATAGTTAGAGAACCTCCTCACCATTTACTTCGTTTTCATTTGACTTGTGCGAATGCTTTTTCTTCTGAATAAATTAAGTAAACGAAATCAAATTCCTTGGCCATATACAATGAATTGATTAAAATAAATAAATCCACAATAATGAGTAAAACAAATAAGAAAGGTATAAAAAGCATACATACCACTAATAGTAATGCATCCAAACCCTCCATAACAGGAGGTTTCAGACTTTCCAAGTCAACTGAAACACAGCATTCAAAGTTTAAGTTAAATGAGTGTGCCAAACAAGATTTAAAAATTAATAAATAAGTAAACAAAAAATACTTGTGCGCTATTCATATTTATGAAGAAGCAGGTATTACAAGTCGTCAACTTATACTGAGATTCTACCAATCCAAGCATGGATTCCAATACAAAGTTAAACAAAAGAAACCCACCATTGCTATTCAATAAACCGTGTGTAATATCATGTCCAGCTTGACCAAGAGAAACTAGCTAGAAATGAAAAAGTAACATGTCAGATTCCTATAAATCCAAATATTTGATTTTTTGCTATTTATGAAAAAGAAAAATAACAGTTTATAAAATAACCTGCATAGCGGCAACGAACTCACTGAAACCAAGATATCCCTGCCTCTTTGAATCGGCCATGGCCCAAACCTTAAGAAAAGGAACGAACTTATTAAAACCCCTCTATATATAAGGCTGGAAAAATTCAAGTAACATAGTCTAACCAAAGAAAAAAGGAAGGGGCTTCTGCTACAAATGTAACGTAAAATGTTTGGCATAGATCTACTAGAACATAATCTTAAGCTTGATTATATCAAAGTAACCCAATCTGCAAAACTTGATGCCAACTTCAACGGCTCTACTAGCGAATTACGCGTCACAATAACTCCGTATTGCTCAACAGAAATACAAACCCCCAAAACAAAATGTATTTCGAAAATGAGTACGAAAACGCATGAACTGAGCTTACACTAACCTCTGCATAAAAAACAAATCCACCAAATACTAATGGTATTGAATTACAGCAAAAAACAGAAGAAAACGAGACGCGCTAACTTGGTAAAAGAAAATATCAAATAAACAAAATAAAACGCAAATTAACCTGCTTGAGATCCTGCCGATTCAGATTGGACATGCCGAAGAACTTTATAGCATCACTCCCGGTAATGCGGCCATCAGTGTCTGAACATAACAAAACCGAAACTCAACTTACAGTTGCTCAATTTTCTCGGGAACCAAACGGAAAAGTAAGAAATTTTCCCAGAAGAAAAAAATGTGAAGAAAATAAAATGCGTGCTTGTGCGGAACAGTGTAAAGTGTAAGTATTTACCTGAATCAGCGAATCGAAACCATTCCTGGTAGATATTCTGATGCTCTTTCGAGCACGAACTGATCGGAACTGAAGAAATTTCCATAACTCGTAACCAGAGAGAATAATCTGATCGAAAAATTAGGATTTCAAATTTTTTAAAACGGAAACCCTCTTTGGAGGGTTTGTCTTTGTTTCTCTTTCCCGCAGGGTGTCCCTGGTACCGACCGAAAGGGTTTAACTATTGGTTTAGACGGCGTCGTTTAGGGGTTGAGTTGGCATGACGGGACGTAAACCCAATCGTGGGTCTTTAGAAAGCCAAGGAGTGAAACGGCGACGTATCTGTTTCGTTTTCGTTTTTGTTTTCGTAGCTGTAGCCTGTATATCACAGCAGGCATGCGAAATAATGGAAAGGATGACTACTCCTACTTGTTGTCAATGTGTAACATCCAACATAACTGTGATCGAGATACTCACCCGTTTTAAATCTCATAAATCTTACAAATTATTGGCAATGGCGAGACCTAGATTATGCTACTAAATATCTTTTTATTATTATTCCGTATTCGTGGAAGGCGGTCCAAAGATAGTGGCGGAGCCAGAATTCTGAATGAGGATGGGTCATTCACAAATATGTATATATATGAGTGTGTGTAAAAAGTTGAATTCGTAACATGTTGACATATGTAATTTGTGTAATAATCACAAAACTGAAAAAATTCTCTTAAATTCAATACTAAGAAGAAAAAAATGTAAAAACCCAGACAACCAAGTAAGAGGTAGGTTGTGGAAGGCTAAAGAAAATACAAAGAAGTAGAAAAAGAAGGAAAAGGGGGAGAGGTCTGCAAATAAAGAAGGTGGGTTGCTTTAGAAAATTATAGGGTGTATATTACTGTTAGGTGAGAGAATCGAACCAGAAGTGGGGTTGCTTTTTCCATTTAAAATTGCGCATCTCTTTTAAAACTTTCCTGCCAAACTTATCGTTTCATTAGACAGCCGAAAAAATTTAAAATCAAAACAGCTTAACAACGTCGTTTGCTTCATCTTCTTCCATGAGGTTCACACCTCAGATGAAGTCAGGATGGGCCGGGGACTACCCTAGTCCCTTGGTGGCTCCACCCCTGTCCAAAGGCTTAACACAAACAAGCTAACTGCAAAAAGAAATGAGATGCAGCTCGATTGAAAATTTTATGGATTACACTAGAGATCCAAGGGTACAGAATGACCAAAATTTACAGGTTTATCCGTTAGATAAACACGTGAGTGTATACAGTTTACGGCAGGAAAGAAATAGTAGAAATGAGTTGACAAATATTTACGAGTGTAATCTTCAAGGTATTGTCAATAACAAGTATTGATGACCAAAGTCGTGGGTGCATGCTCATAATGATGACATATCAGCATTTTCAGAGGAAAAAATAGAGAACCACTATAAAGTGGAGAACGACACATCAGCATCTCCTAAATGCACCCTCCAAATTCCAAAACCCTATGTATCCGAAACTCCATTGGGTTGCAATAATCTTTGAGAAATGATAACTCAAGGATTTTTTTTTTTTTTTGGGACAAACTAAAGTTACTTTTCCATTAAACAAATAGACAAGTACAAAGAAAAGAGAGCTCAAAAGGCATCCCATAATCAAAATACAAGCTCATCAAGAAAAAGTAAATACAACATAAAAGCTCAAAAGAGCATAACTGAAAAACAACAAAAACCCTAAAATTAAAGAGGAAACCAGACGCCACCACCAAGAAAACGAACCAAAAAGAGCAACTGGATCAACTGAAAATGAGGGTGAGTGAGCCACCCGCACAGTTATAACTCAAGGATAAATATGGCGTGTAGTCATATCCAATGTAAATCCGTATATGGTAATTAATACTAGCTCTATTTATTCTTCAAATATGTCACTGAACAACAACCAATATTCAATATCATTAAGTTAAGCGATATAAAGACTAATGTGTGTAAAACATGACCATCTCGCTCTCATCATAAAGCTTATCAATAAAACAAGAACCTTCGAATTCCAAACTTCTTGACGAACCTTGAGAGGCAAACAAAGGACAAGCTTGCAACACTGCTCAACGACAATTGCACCACACTATTGTACGGCCTTGCGCTTGCAATCGCACGTCGCACAACCAAACAGAAAATGGGACATGGCCGAGACAACAATCTCGAACAAGATGAACGCGCACCAAGAAAGACATGCCCTCCAAACACTGGATTGGTCCACGCAAATCCATCGCAGGTACAACCTAATTAAAAGCTATGCAGTTCATGTTGTATGCGTGAAACGCAGCATCTGAGTTGTTTAGCTGAATCCAATACTAATCAGACCCAATGCTTATCGTATACACATGGATGCATTCAGTCCGACAATCCGTACTATCGACCGACTATGCATTCTATCTGACAATCCGTACAACGATATTACGTTTATGAAGGGATTTATACTTGAATTCAGGTGAAACACAATCAAAACCATTCATCACAACATAGTTATCTCATACCGATACATCAAATATTTCGTAAAAAGATCCCCAAATTTGAACTTCAAATTCTCAAGTAGACACGACGATGCAAGGTGAAAAGAGAAAAATTCATCAAATGGTAAGTTACACCACTACAAGGCGGCTCAGTTTGTTAATTCCATGATGGCAGAAACAATGTCACCATTTGCTGCTTTGAGTGCCTTAACTGCTCTTGATCTTGAAACCCCAGCTTGAGTCATCACCAACTCGATGTCCTTGGGTTCTACACCAGTTTCGTCCACATCTTCATCGTCTTGAGCCAAAGTTGATGGCTCGGGCTTTGCTGTCACAGTATTTAGGTTAGGAGCCTTGAACTGCTCCGCGGCCTGAGTTTGAAGTTGTGAGCTCAAGTCCTCAATCTTTGCTTCCCCAAAAATGACATATGTATCGGAAGCGGGGCTCTTAAAGACATCTGGCTTTGAGATGACAAACAGAATCTGAAAGAACAAACATTACTACATTAAATCTTTAAAATAAATCTCCTAGAAGCTGACACAAAATGCGTTATAGCAATCAAAAGAAGAAACAAGGCAACAAATCAACACTTACATTCTTGCTCTTCTTGACAGTCACACGGCTGACACCTGGAATTGCTTTCATTCCAAGTTTCAACATCGCCTTGCGACTCTTCTTCTCACTTCTGCTCTGCTTAGACCTACCACTTCCATCTCCTTGTCCTGCCACAATGCCATTTTGACAAGAAATTACACCAATAATAAGCAAAAAAGATTGGCTATGCAAGAGATAATGTACAACTTCCAAACCACCGCCCCCAATATATATATAGCAGGAGGGAAGAGTCAAAATTATTATCTGAAGGTGTTCTTAACGGCTAAACAAAAGAATACAGTTAAAAAGTTCTACCAAAACTCTCTCAAAATCTCATCTCTAACTTTTGACACTTTCAGTCACACAACCAGATAATAAATAGGCATACTGCTTCTCAAAAAGAACCAGAAACAGAGACAAACTGAGCTAAACTAAGAAGACAAAAGCACTGCATAACATATTGAAGAAGAAACACAACCTTTTTCCTATGGCTTTTATGTCAGTGGAGAGATGACATTCACTAAGATCTTCAAGAAAACTATATGCTTGGAAGAGTGCGTGCATTTTGAGGGGAAAAAACATAAAGCAGTTTGGCATCACATTTAAATCTTCACAGTGCAATTTACCTTCAACATCGTCATCATGGTCGTCATCTTCATCATCATCATCATCGTCATCATCTTCGTCCTCGACTATCGGTTCATCATCCTACAACCATTTCACTCAATTTCATGCACCATAAAATAAAAAGATGAAGCATCTTCAAATATTTATTCACTATCCTCCACAGTTAAACATCAACACAAATACAGGAAGAATACATATTAAGGCAGGGAGTAGCCTGCACACTTTCATTATGAACCTCAAAGGACTTGCCACATTCTTTCTCCCACTAACCTCTCATAAATACTTACAATAGTGAGTTGTTATTATATGTTTGGCAGTTCAGGATTGTTTCCATAGTAGCCGGCACCCAATTAAGTCAACATATTTGGCACTAACCCAGTCAACAGATGACAGCACAAAATAATCACTTCTAATTAAATGTAACCGGAAAAACAATCTAATGGCTTCAGAGAACTCAAGTAAAATACTCCAGTTAATTAAAGTCAAGCAAAGAGGTAACAGAGTCGAATGAGTGAACTTCAAAGCTCAAACAAGAGTAATGCTGTGTGATTGTTTGATCTGGTATCAGAATCATCCATAAAAATTGATGAGATATTGAAATAACAATTTGTAATGGATCCAATAGGGAAGAAAACACAAATATGACCAGGTTGGTACAAACTTAGTGACTGCTGCAGAAATTGAAACAACGAAGCACCTTACAAAAAATTTCGGGACAACTGGTCCATTCAAATTAGCTCTATCTATGGCCAAAGAAAAGTGTAGCAGTATTTCAGTTGAGTATACTGCTCATCCAAAGTGATATAAAGATTAGCTAAAGTACAAATGAATGAATAAAGAAAAGAACCCTTGCCAGTGCCTCTGCTATCTAGCTTAACATATTGTAATTTGAAACCATCATGAGCCAAACCAATACGGAAAAAATGACAAAGGTATTTTCTCCAATGCTGTAAAGAAATGTTTCCATTAAACCCACTCTATAACATAACAAAATAGATATGCAAAGTAAACTGGATATGAATCCATCTAAGAAAGACACCATACTAATTCTAAAGGCAGACAACAAAATAGCAATATGTAAAAGCTAAACCCTTCTTGGGGTTATAGCTGACTTCACTTAGTAGGAATGTATTTCACATTCGCTCATCACTGCAAAACTGTATCGAAAAATCAAACAGAAATGCAGCTAAACAGCAAACACACAACGAATAAAATCACTTTTCAACCGTAAAGATCTTTCCAACACATTTTCTGTATCTTTTAGCAGAAACTCATAAAGTCCAAGTAATATTAACATTCAAAAATAAAAACAAGAAGAAGCTCTGAATGCATAAGACAAATTAAATAAAATATCACATAAAGCATGCCACAACTCAATTCAAAGAGAACCCCATTAAAAACGACGAGAGAGAGAGAGATTACATGAACTTTTTGCTGTTCAAGCTGGGCAGCAAGGAGCTCTTCTTGAGTTTGGGCAGTCATGCTGTCACAATTAGGAAACAAAATTTTATAATGTGTAATTCATGTTTGCTAGCGAATTGGGAATCAGCGATTACAGACTTGATCACAATTAGTTTAAACAAAGTTTTGGTGATAAATTATTCTTATTCAGATGAGAAAAAAGGGTTGATCTCCATAATATCAAGCATCTAGAATATAAATAAAATATCAAAAACAAGAGAATAAACAGAACAACATCAACCAAAAAATTTTAAATTGAAAACCAATCAAATCAAATTTCAGTTCAGGAAAAAATAAGGTTCTGTTTTGCCATTTATCAACAATCAACTTAAATTTTAAAAAATAAAATTTCCTCAAAATTTAGAAATCTAATCAACCAAACTTTTTTTTAATCTAATCTGGACATTTCGGTTCAGAAAAAAAAAGTTATAAGATACCCGATTCAGCACTTAACTACATGATATATATAGCTGGGCACTTAGCTACAACATGCCAAGCAGCGAAGACATGAATTTTCCAGTACCAAAGTTTCGAAATGATAGAAAATATTCTCAATTTGAACATAAAAAATAAAATAAAAAACATAAAATCCAAAAATTATAAGATCAATTAAACATATCAGAGAGAACAATACCTTTAATTAGATCCAGAAAACAAATCAAGGAAGAGACGAAATCAATTTGAGAGGGAGAAACAAAGAACGCGAGAGAGATGGAGAGAGATACGAGAGAGAAGAGGGAAGAGTTACCTTGGAGTTGGAGCAGAGGAAGTAGCAGCGTGAAAGGGAAGACTGAAGAGGGTGGACTGTGGAGGCAAAAGCAGCTGCGCGAGGTGAACCAAGTTTTTTCAGGGTTGAGCTTGTTTTTTAGGGTTTAGGGATTCAGATCTCACTCCTGGACCGTTTAGTCTTGACCGTTCACACAGATCGTGCGGCCAGGATTCCATTTTAAATTTTGTATTTTTCTTGTCTGCGTATTATAAGCTAAACCAATTTACGACACAAAGAAAAATCAAATAGGCCATTTACACGGCACTTAATACTAATTTGAATTACATTATTTCTAGCTATTAAGTCTGCCTCTCACTTTAATGTAGATAATATCGTTTGCTAAAAAAAAAAAAAAAACTTTAACGAAAAGCTCCAGGTACTGTTCACTTTAACAAAAAACCACATTTTTACATTAAAAAGTTAATCCTGGTACTATTCACTTTACCCTTTATTTTGTTTAAAACTCAAAGTTTTCAAATCTTTTTCATTAGTTTTTCTATAAAAAAAAGGTAAATTACACCTTACCACCTCATGTGTGGGGTCGTTTTCAATTCCTTACAACATCTTTAAAACATTTCACTTTCATACCTCAAGTACTATTTTATTTCAATATAATACCTCCGTTATATTTTTCATCCATTGGTTCGTTAAGAGATGACGTGACTGCCACATTTGTGCCATGTGGCTAAACACTTAATAAAAAATTTAAAATAATAAAAAAAAAACCCAAATCCCATTAGTCTTCCCCAGAATCCCCACACGTGCCCACCCTTCCCCCATCCCCAATATGATATTCGATGACAGCAACACCGTCATCCTCCTCCACGTTAGCCCTACCTCCGTCCTTTTTTACGTCGACTAGGACTCAGTCGACCTCTCCATCAACACCAACGACAACGTCAATTTCGTCGACAACCGCACCCTGCACAATTTCGTCAAGCAGAAGAAACTTGAGAACGACTTTGATGCCTTCACCGCCTCCAAGGTCACCGATCTCGCCAAGCCATTGAAGGAGGTGCAGATTCCATACAAGATCCGCTTCGTCAAGGACCATGACATGAAGGAGCGGCTCTGCTTAGAGGTTGAGAGGTTAGGGCTCAGTGTCGTGATCATGGGGAGCTAAGGGGTCGACGCCACCAAGTGTGGGACTGACTGTCATGCCCCGATCCTGACCTACGTCCAAGATCGACACGTGACGTCTTTTAGTAATTGGTGAAGATCCGGCCGTTGGATGTCTGGGTGACTCCTTCGGAGTTTTCTACAACTTAATTATGATTTCATAAGGCATGATTCTATACTTGATGTTATAGATTGTGATCGATGGTCCGTTTTTATTGAATATCACATACTTGTATTATTATCACTCACCCGAGCTCCGCAGCTTATCCGAGTTCCGTTTGGTCGGTGCACCATTTTCATGATGTAGGCACTGATTTTACATACGACATGTCTGGGTAGATTTTGAGAAACCACTTAATATTTTGGTTCCATTGAATGGTCTGGACCCCGATGTTGTTGGATTCCGTTGAGTGGTCCGGAATCCTTACTCTCGCTCATTTCCATAAGTTAGACTAGAACCTTGGATTCGAGTGAACGGGAATTACCCACAATAGACCTTGTGAATATAAATTAGAATTATCAAGTTATTACTTGGAATCCAGGCAGGGAATTATGTAGAATTCCTTTATTAAATTTTGTGCATTGATGTGTGATCTGGTTGACTGATTAACATAATTAAATGTTAATATCGTGCCTCCTTGATTCAAGGAATGGGTTACTTGAGGTGATTATGGAATGATGTTGAATATGATTGTTATTAATACGATTAGAGCAGTGACCAATGTGACTAGAGGATACTATTGTGCTTTGTTGATTCTTTGATATATTACATGATATAAATTGTGATTTTATGTTGAAACATAATGATTTATATGATGGATGAAATAGAAACCTTGATTGTCATGTGGCATGTTATGTAGCTTGAATCGAATAATTCATGCTTGTCAAGTCCAAATGTTTGATTGAGGAATGTTATGCCTTTCAGCTTGAGCGGACTGTGATATATGTCGAGTTGTAGCGAATGACGAACTACAAATGGCTTGATCCCTATTAGGGTACATAGGCCGTCTAACGAGGAGGTTAGATGTAACCATAAAATATACAAAAAATTACTATACGATTCGATTCTTGAGTTATGCTTCGTACATATCCCGAAGGCGGGATTTGTTGGGTTTATGGTTACTTAGTGACGTCACGTGTCGATCCTGGACGCAGGTCGGGATCGGGGTGTGACACTGACGATATGCTTGGGAGTGTCAGCGATTATTTTGTTCATCACTGCGTTTGTCCCGTTGTTGTTGTCCGATTTTTGGAAGATGATAGTAGCATCATTGCTTGGGGGGTGGGGGGTGGGGGTTGCGGGGGAGGTGGGGTGGGGTGGGTTTTTGGATGGAAGGGGAGATGAAGAGAGTGGAGGAGAGCGAGGTAGGTCAGGGGGAATGGTTTTCTCAATTTCTAGGTTTCAGTTTTTTATTTTTGTTTTTTAATATGGTAAATTATTATAATATTTTAAATGTATAAAAAATTACTTTCTGCCACATGGCACAAATTTGGCAGTCACGTCAGCACTTAACGAACCAATAGATGGAAAATGTAATTGATGTATTATATAGAAATAAAATAGTACGTAAGGTATGAAAGTGAAATTTTTTGAAGATGTTGTATGAGGTTGCAATAGACCTCAAACTTGAGGTGGTAAAGTGTAATTTACCAAAAAAAAAAAAAAACCATTTACACTTATACATTTTGGATGAATAAGCATGTTAGAGGATAGAGTGCTTTTTATATTATATGGACTTTGGTTAAGAAAAATTTCACACTAATTTATAGATTAGGACAATCTCTAATTAGCAAATCAACAATCTTCTACGGCAATTCTTGAAACCATATCAGTTAGTTCATCTTCCACTTAGAGCAACTCTAGCGCTCTTTTGCTTTATGGACCAACTCCATTTGCAATCCAATCCCATGCCAAAGTGGCGTCAGCCCATTCGGGCAATTGGGTTGAGAGGGAGCCCGTGGGAGAGCTCAGGCACAAGTCCCAAGCCCGAGCGCTTAAGGGGGGATTGATGTAAGGCTGACGTTAGCATGACATCATCCACGTTATAAAAAAATTTGTCTCAGGTGCGTGCAAACCACGCGTGCGTGGGGGGGTGCCACCGACACAATTTCAAGCAATAGGGCTCGCGTGGCAGCCCTCTCAGTAGCCGTTGAATCTAAATCGTTTGATTTCCAGAATAAATGATTTATTCTGTTGTGTGATAAATGACATGTTGCATAAATCAACAATATATTAGGTATTGACTAAATGTGTGTGTATATATATAATTATGAATAAATGATTTATTCAGTTGTTTGATAAATCACATGTTGTATAAATCAATAACGTGGTAGTAATCATGTGATATCAGAAATAATATTATTTAATCATAAGTCATCATGACATAAAAAAAATTATTATTTTATAATTAGTCATCATGACAAAAATAATAAGATATTAAATAAACAATGATAATTTTAAACAAATCAGCCCAAAGATAAAGTGCTTATCTTTTTCCATGGGTGGTCGACAGTTGCAGATGGTTGATGCGCACTGCGCCTAATGAGTAGTGAAGAGTTTTCCTTTTTCTTTTCTCTTTCCACTGCGCCTCTCTATCTCTGTCTCTGTCTCTGCGCTGCTGTCATGCATGGTGCACCCATTAAGCATTAATATCTTCTTTACAGTTTGTCGCGGAATCTTATTGCCAGACTGTACCAACTTGCTAGAGATCTGGCTTCCACTTGGTGACGCTGTTCCTTTGCACTTTGGAAAGCAACCAGCTCATCCACTTCTCGTTTGTAAAAGCAAGACCATACCATTTGTAAAAACATCTTTTCCTTTTCCTTAGCCTCTTCGGGGTCTCATTTTCGAGCTGCTGCGACGAGGACTTCATTGTTGTCACAGTGCTTGGGGAGCTTATAGTTTCCATACATCCTCAGGCCTGCCAATATCTTCGCCGTTATGGTCCTCCACCTCCTCTCTCTCCTCTTGTTGTTCTCTCTCTCCTTCGACGTCGGCAATCGCGTCCCCGACGTCATCTCTGATCAAGCCCCCCTCGCTAGCTGGTTCTGAAACGGCGTCGTCAGCCGTTAAGATTCAGCTGAGAGCTGAGGAGTAGTGTAAGAATTGAATCTTCGGAAGCTGGGGGGAGAAGCTCTGACGAGACGACGGAGTTTGACGAAAAAATTTAGAGTGGGATTTGAGTCAACCGGGAACTTGAACTTGTGGAGGATCGGTGAATTGGATCGGATCTGTAGGGCGACCTTAATTGAGTCGGGTTAAGGGGCTGAGGAGAGAGCGCTGTCGAAATCGGACAGGAAAATGTGAAGTGAAAGCTCGATCTTAACAGCGTATTATCACCAAGCGCAGTAGAATTTTGCAAATTAAAAGTTCTAGCGAGTGATCTGGTGGACGATGAGAGATGGTGAAAGAGATCATTGGGTGTCAAAGCCGCGAGAGCGCCATTTTTGTTTCGTTTTACAGAGATGCCTTTGTTCTACCTTTTTCCTTTAAATTTTGCTCTTAAGAAACGCTGAAACTATCTTGGGCTCGGCGGCGGCGGCGATCGCGTACTGAGCAATGCAGTCGAGGAGATAGCCGCAGGGAGAATCGGAGATGATGTTCGTCTGTTTGCCCAAAAAAAAAAGACAGAGAATATGGACTTTCTCACTACCCAACTCCATTGCACTTTCTGTCTTTCTCGTTCTTTCTTTTTTTTTGTTTTTTTTGTTTTTGTTTTGGTTTCCGTGTACGACTGTCTGAGAGGGGGATGGCTCCGTGGGTTTTCTGGGAAAGCTTTGGGTTCTTGGGTTTTTGCAGATTCACGGCGGAGGTGAAAAAATGAAAGAGAACCGACATAGCTTTTCGTGTCGATTCCCACAGACGGCGCTAAATGTTGATGCACAAAATCGGAGGGGTCTTGGAACAACGTAAATCCGATCGTGAATCTGCAAGAAAGTAAAGAACACAAAATGTATCGTGGTTCACCCCAATGTTTGGGCTACGTCCACACTGATGTTGATATTGTTTCACTTTGA